CCACTCTTTCGTATTTGCCAAACAGGCTGCTGGATAATATTAGGGAGTTCTCATTTAGGCAATTTAATTCCACCTTGGTTGTAATGCAGAAGATGCTATCCTGGCAGGTTTTACAGACCATATGACTTTTCAATGTAGTTTTTGTCATGCTTGTAAAATTGATTTAAACAAGTGCACGGTCTTGCCTGAAATGGCCCAGTTCACTGAATTTCCAGTACACTTGTCTTTCTGCAGTGTAGGCTGTTTGTAAAAGTCTTCTTTGCCTCGACTGGACTTTTCTAGCTTTCTAGATAGTGGTTCAGGACTGTTGTCGTTGCTCTTGAAGTTTTGCTGCTTCCCTGGTGCAGTTTTTCCACACTTTTAACTGTTCTTTCAGTATCCTCATCGGAATCATAGGTACCCTGACTATTATGGTCTCAAAATCCTTCCATGTATAACATAAAATATATTACAACATAATTCAGCCAGGATAAGAACCATTTCCAGAGCCACACCATTCCTTTAGTTTCCAGGCACAACTTAGAGTTTGACCTTTAATATCCTACAGGGTTTTGGACCAGGCCATATAAACCTTCCAATATATTAATATCTGCTGCAGACACCCACTTCAGACACCTGGACCACCCTTCCAGTTGAGGGGCATTCTAGCTTTCTGCTAGCTTTCTGGCAATTTGGACCCCTTTGACCTGCTGTATTAGGCATCATGCTCTTGGTGTATTTGCTGATGTGTTGATGCTTTTAGCTTGTTTTTGTAAAAATAAATAAATTAAAATAAGTATTTGGTGTTCTTTGTTGTGAGCCACATAACAATGGCAGGCTATATGCTTTAATCTCCCTTCCTACCCTCATTAACCCCTTGAGCTTATCTTCTGTTCTCCTCCACGGCTATTGAAATAAACCATTGGGTTTTATATCCATGGAAATTACTGACATCTATTCAGGGTTAGTTTGCTGGGGATTGGCTTAGGGGTGAATCGATCATTTCCACCTCTTCCTGCAATCCCTTAAGCCACTAGGGGGAGTCCTCATTGCAGTTTAGGAGATCTATGGATGATACAGTTCAACCTGGGGAAACAAGTGCTTGAGGTAGAGACAGTTCAGCCTGTTTTGCCACCTGAAGCGAAATGGAGAGGTGCTGCCCCGCATTCCCACCTCACTCCCCTGCTGCCTCCACCCGAGTTGTTTACTGGGGTCACATGGCTGTGGCTTCCAAATTCTGGTGAGACAAGAGCCCTGTGGAATCTTGTGTGATCTCACCTGAACTCGGAAGCCTCCACAGCCTCTTCTCCTTGCTTCTCTAGTGGTGGCAGGGAGGCATGCCTATGGATTCCACTGCCTGAGGTAGCTGTCTCAGTCTGCCTCATGGACAGCCCGGCCCTTACCTGAAGACTCACATTTGCTCAGTCCTTTAGGCTGAAAGTAGGTATGCTATCCTTCAGCCCACCAACTACCCAGTGACAGGGAGATTTTAACCATCATGCAAGTCTCTGCTGCCATGATTTCATGGCAACGTGAAGACTAGAGACTATGTGTGGAAGTTTATTTATTTATTTATTTTTTCAAGCACTCAAACTTTTATTGCACCCTAGGGATGCAGAAACACCATCCTGTTCTCACCAGGGTTCATCTGAGTGTCCATATGTGGGATACTCTCATGAGAGAGAGTGAGAGAGAGGCCTGAACCTGTCAAAAGCAGGTCCCTGCCCCAAGGAGTTCCAGTCAAAATTGACAGAGGGCTGTGTTTCAGTTCTCATATTGTTCCAGAAAGTGTGGACTTCATAGATTCACCTTTAAATGGGAGTTCGAATTGAATCGTGCCCCATCTTTAAGTACCATGTTAAATCAGATTACAAAAATTAAAAACAGCAGAGTAAATTAACAGAGCCTAGAGTGCCCAGTTAAAACAGCTTCCTGCAGAGCTGAGGTACTAATGTTCAAAACGCTTTCTTTAAAATTACTATAACAACAGATTTTTAACATGTGGCAAAAAACCCCCATTAATGACAGGTAAGGCAGGCTTTCCTTGAGATGGAGTTCCGGAGCCTTTGTGCAGCTATTTTGTAGGCCCGCCCTGGTCACAACCAGATGCGATTGTTGTATGGGATTATTTCAGTTTATGAACAGCTGAGGTTTTGTAGAAGAGATTGTGATAATATCCTGTTAATAGAATGCAAAAAAAGCAATTGATAATTAAGAAACAGAATAGTTTGTGGTATGGCATGGGGCTGTAGATGTGATAAGAATTTGTGGAAATTCAGTTTCAAATCTTCTTTTCAGCCTACTGAGTGTCTTTGGCCGTGTGTCATGCATACCATTATCTCACAGTTTAATCTACCTGCCTGGATTGCTCTGATATTTAAAAGGCTGTTTTAATTTCCTTGGAGGAAGGATGAGATGACGGTGTAGCAAAATGAAAATAAATAAATAAGCAAACAAACATTTTACACGCACTTATTGTATATTTTATCATTAACAACCAGAGTTATCGAATTATGCCTTTTTGAAAACAGCTAAAATATTGGAGAGTTCCCAGGTTTCTAAATCAATTTCTTAGAAGAACATATTAACCGTTATCCTTTCTTTCTTCAAGGATCTTTTATTTTAATTTTCTGATCTCCTGTGCCCCCACTCCATTGTAATCTTGCAGTATAAGGACCATTTAGCTTTCGTTAGGGAGAATATTGCATACTTAATGTAATTTATCAAAATAATGTTTGCAGGACTGCCAGATCCCGTTTCTTGATTTATATGACAGAGGTGAGACTTACAAACATAAGGATTTTGTTTTTACTCTGATACTTAAAAGCTCACTTTTCGCTGGCTACTTTTCAAATCTGTCCTGCTCTATATTGTGCTAACTTTTATTCCTGTTCCCTGTTTTATCTTATTAATACAGGTTGGTTGCTGGATCAAAAAACCCCAAATAATTGGGCTTCACTCTATCCTAGTAATTACAGATTTATGCTTTTTGTTCAGAATGTGCACCAACCACAAGATTAGGTTTGGACCTGGTTTCAGCACTTCAAAAAACAGCCCACCCCAGTCCAAAATGCATTGGAGGCTGCCCAACTCAGCTCGGGAGCTAAGTATGCTTTGGAAAAAATGAGGCTTCATTTCCACCCCATTCACTATTGGGAAAACAAAGCCAGCTATAATTTTTCCCTCTTTTGACAGTAGGTAAAATTTGTACACATAGCAGTCCCTCCAGAGTGAATAAAGGCTGCCAAATTACAGAGAAATAGGTCCAGGGTGTTCATGCTGGGCAGTTCTGCATTTTTAAAGTTTTTCATTGGCAGAAGTGCGTGAAATTTGCAGGAATGCTTTCCCTTTCTGAGGGGATGAATCCTGCCAAATTTCAGATGTATAGCTATAGTAGTGTCAGGCGTGGAGTATCCTCTCCTCCCCCGGTAGCCTCAGAGTCAAGAAGAACAAACAGTTCGTATTTTATGGCTTTTTATTCAGGCATCTGGTTGCAAAACAGAAGATCCATGTCTCCACGCATGGGAGACGTTGGCTACTCTGAGTCCCTCCTCTTCCGTCTCCCACAACATCCTGGAAACCTACGGGAAGGCACAGGAGTCACATCCCTCTGCATTCTCTGTTCCTGAATGCGGAGGGACCTTCTAGCCCTTGGACTAGGAGGGTCTCCCATACTCTCCAGGGAGGTCTCTGCTGTCTGCTCTCTAACTTCCCCCTCCTCATCCTGCACTATCTCATAACTAGGGATTTCCTCATTCAACTGTACATCACCCCCATCTCCTTCTCCTCCTGAAACTGCTGGAGATGGGGAGGGTGAAACTTCCCACTCCTCCCAGGGGCATAGGAAGGGGGGTGCGCCATGGCGGCTCGCTCCGCCCACGGCTGCAGGGTGCGTGTGCTGCTCTGGGCACCCGAGCAGCTATCCTGCACCTGGGAGGGCACCCTCCACACCACGCCCCCCTTGGGAGCGTGCCTGCCCCGGGCAGTACGGACATATGCTCTGCCACTGACGACTCCTCCTCTTCTGAGAGGAGCCGATCAGAAGGAGGGCTCCATTCCCATTCCTCCTGTTCAGTCTAGTCCCTGACAAGTAACTTCCCATCCCACAAGGTAAACCTTTAAAGTTGGGCTTGTTGGTGGTAAAAATCAATGTTCCCCAGGGCTTTGTGGGCAATTTCTCCTAAAGAAGAGCAGAGAAAGTTGCCTCTCAGTAAGAAACCTGCCACATTATGAAAACCTGCTGCCCCCTATTTCATGGCCCCAGCTTATGACTTGTCCATTGGAGTGGGGAGGCAACACCAACAGTGCCATCAATGTTGTATGTTGGAGGGAGTGAGGGGTGAGGAAGAAGGGAGGTCAGAACCTTGCAAATGCAGCAGTGATAACACTATATTGGGTCCACCTTTGCAACCTCACAGCATCCATTTCCTGCCACTCCATCCTTCCCAGTAACTGGCAATGGCACCACTACTGGGAGGCCAGGTGCATGGTGGGCCAGCCCTCCCAAGCAGCTGCTTCTGGCTTGCTGCCAGAATTGAGAATATTCCCCGTTGTCAGAAACAATGTGAGATGAACCGGAGTGTAAAAGGTAAAAGGTCCAGTCGCGGACTACTCTGGGGTTGCGGTGCTCATCTTGCTTTACTGGCTGAGGGAGCCAACATTTGACCTCAAAGAGCTTCCGGGTCATGTGGCCAGCATGACTAAGCCGCTTCTGGCAAAACCAGAGCAGCACACGGAAACGCCGTTTACCTTCCCGCCGGAGCGGTACCTATTTATCTACTTGCACTTTGACGTGCTTTCAAACTGCTAGGTTGGCAGGAGCAGGGACCGAGCAATGGGAGCTCACTCCATCGCGGGGATTCAAACCACCGACCTTCTGATCGGCAAGCCCTAGACTCCGTGGTTTAGACCACAGCGCCACCTGCATCCCTGAACCGGGGTGTAATTGTGTTAAATCATAGAGCTGGAAGGGACCCTGAGGATCATCAAGTCCAACTCCCTTCAATGCAGGACTGTGCAACTGTCCCATACGGGGATCGAACCTGCAACCTTGGCGCTATCAGCACCAGGCTCTAACCAACTGAGCTGTGTGTGTTCTTGTTATGTTCCGCTTTGCTGCTTGAACACTGCAATCTAGTAACAGGCAATTTGTGCGCATGTGGAAAACAGGCACCCTAAAGACACCAATAATAATGATGAAGATAAATAGATATTCATTTGGACACACAGACAGCGACACTAATTGTGGCAAGCACGTAGAGACAGAAAGCAATAATTAATAATAATGATAATAACGGATGAATAAAAAAATACTTGGCGCACACACAAAGCAATAAAAATATGGAATAAAAAAGGCTCTGTGATACATAAATAAAATAACTCAGAGTGATTAAAACAGACTGCACAGAGTCACACAGAAGCAATGCCGTTAGCCCTAGAACTGGAATAACACTGCATACCACGAAACAGACCAAGCACAGTTATAACAACAGCAAATAAAATCAAAACTAAATGAAGGACTGTTAATGATAAGAAGGGGAAATAAGGTGGAAAAAGAGGGTAATAAAAATGAAAAGAAAAGGATTAAAGAAGATAGCTGAAGAAAGTCTGCTGCAGGTATCTTTTTACCTCAAATGTTAGGCAAAATGCCAAATACTGAGGTAAATCATCAGCTACACCCTCCCCACATATATAAAGCCTTAAACTGAATGAAATATACTTTAAATGGTCTTCCAAAACTGCAGATTTTTTTTAGAAGAGACAACCCTCCTAATAGAGAACTTCATGAGTTCCTTTTTAACGGCTTCCGTAATCGAGATTGAATTGAATCATACAATATCAAGAGGTTGCTTTAACCTCAGAGATCAAGGATAAGTCAGCCTGTGCCAAAATGCCTTTTAGTCTATTTTTAAAGGCCACTTTAGCTGCCACTGTTCTGAGAGAGATAAGCTTGAGAAAAGCTGTAAGATCAAATCAATCATTCAGTTTTCTGAAGCCATGTATCCCTTCTAAAGGGCCTATGGAACTCATCCCCTGCAAACAACTTTTGGGTAATCTCCTCTGATTTAATTTTAATCCAATAATTGAAAAGATGAGGAAACATTCCAAGCACCATGGGTAACATTCCTGTTTCCACTCTGAAGGATAATTGAGGATATACATTTGAGATCACCCTCAATAGTTCTAGGTGTCATAGGCCCCATCTGCACTAGACATTTAAAGCAGTATCACTCCACTTTAAACTGTCCAATTCCAGTAAATTGTAATTGGCTCCAAATGCTAGAGCCACACAGTAAGTGAGAATAGTCTTGGATTTTACCAACCTGTCTTATAAATGTTCAAGAAATGTGCACCAGCCATTGAATTTGGCTATCATGACGACTTCCTTAGGCCAACTGTGTCTAAAACCAATCTCAGGGGAGCCAGCGGTGTGAAAAATGGATATGCTTGACCTTAGATTCCATACCCGTACTCAGGGTGAACTCCAATGGCATCCCTGGAGAAGGTTGAAAGAGCCTTATTTGTAGTATAAAAAAAGGACCTAGAACAGGATGCAGCCTGGAAGACTTGCCACTCTTCCTTTCCTTTAATCAACGTATGCAGCACCCTGATTTGGGGCACTATCGGACTTCCGGGTTAGCGCCTCTGGCAATGGCGGATTTCCTCTGATCGGGAGGAATCCGCTCCATGAGAATTAGGGTCTGGACCGCCGCAGCGAGGCGGAGACCCACTAAAAACCACAGGCGGGAGAAGCCTGTGGACGTGGGATTCGGCTGGCACCTTTTGCGCCTCCCCTACTCGCGGGGAAACCCGGTTTCAGGGATCCGGAGCGACGTGGGGTGAATGGCGCAGTGCTTCAAATCGACTGCTCTTTTCACGGAGTGAAGCTGCATTGCTGTTGCCGGAGAGCGCTGACTTTTTCTTGTGGACAATTGGATTTTAAACAACTGCCCATGAGTAAAACGGAAAATTGGACTATGAAATTTCTTAATTTGGCATCGAAGCGGGAAGGTCTAAACAGGAAGTCTGCCTTCCGCTTTTGTAAATAGATTAAAGCAAAGACATGGCAAGCTAGAGTCTGGAAAGTCGTTTGTAAAGGATTAAATCTTCATCATTTAAAATTACTGAACCCCCCTTGGAAGCAGGAGAAGAGGGGGGCATCTTTTTTAGACTGTCTAAACCTGCAGAAGAGAGAGTAAAGAAAGGTAAATTTCCACCGTCTTGAACCTGGGAGCGGGGTGTCAGGACAGACGTTTTGGGGAAGTTCATTGACTGTGGACAAACATTTTTGACAGATAGTCAAAAGAAGAGAAACATATTGATTCCATTGTTCCCTTTTGCATTTAAAAGGAACAAAATATCTGAAAAAGGAAAGGAACTTTGTTGCTAGATCTGCTTTTAAAAAGATGGATACAAATAGAAATTGTATCCCCTAGAGGGAGCTTGTGAAACTGTTATTAGAGTCAAACTGGGGAGCTTTGCAGCTGTAGAGATTAAAGATCGTGGGACCAGACTTTGACCTTGAAGAAGAATGTGCTTAGAGGAGGCTTTGGTGCTTGATCTTTGCAAGACAAGTGCTTTATTGGAACAGTTACATGAGAAGATGGATTTGATGACTGTTGCGGTCGGAAACTTTGGACAGGCAGTGGGTACCTATATAGAACCCACTCAGGAATTAATCCAGGAATGTGCTTTGACAGATCAGATAAAGGAGGAGGTTGTTGCTGAACCTCAAGTAGCAGAAACGGAGAGAGCTGCGGCCCAGCAGGAACATGAGTTGTTGAATTTGACGAATGAACCTGGAAAAAGTCAGATTTGGAGAGATGGAGTTCTGTTTGGCTTGGAGATGGGGGGCTAGATGGATCCCCCTATGCAGGAATGTTTTGACCTTTCGAGTCTGGCTTTGGGCCGGAGGGAGTTGGGAGTGGTGGGGGCCCTTAACTTTGGAGGGATTTTGAAACATGCCTTTAAAGATCACATGGATTTCAGTGTTGACTATAGAAAATGGGCTGACTTGTCGAGAAGGGACAAAGATATTGTCAAGCTGGAGTCTCCCCGAGAGAAAGGAGGGAAATTAAGAATAAGATCAGCAGAAGACAAAGTAAAGTACAGATATAAACATGAAGAAGACCTGCGGAAGGGACATGGAAAAGACTTAAGAGCCTCGGATAGAAGGTCACCAGGTTGATGGACTAGATGGATGAGATAGAAAGGACTGACAAAACCCGAGACCAGGAAGAAGAGACGATGGATGAAGATTGGAAGAAAGTTTTAAAAATTTATTTAGAAAATTATCGTAAAATTAATGAGTATTAGAAAAATGTTGGAATGAAATTATTTGGCTTTAGCAGAAATGTTAAAAAGAATTATGTAAGAATATGTTATGGTTAAAAGAATTAGGTATAAATAAGATTTAAGTTTTAAGCTTTAGGATTTTTTATGGTAAGATAAGGTTAAAATAGATTAAGGTAATTTAATGACAGAATATTGTGAAAGATGGAAAGGATTTGCTGAGATAATTAACAACTAGAATACAAAAAAGGGAGGTGTGAGGAGGTCGATGAAATAAGTTAATGAAAGTTAAGGATTTGGGAATATTGGATTTGTTTTTAACTTTTTTGTTTATTTTTGATTTTTGATTTTTATGTATTGTGTGTTTTGTTTTCTCTCTTTGACTTTGGTTAATATTGATTTGTATTGTTTAATTGTTATTTTTGTCTACTTTTTTTCTTTTTCTTTTTCTTTTGTTTCATCCTTCTTTTTTCTCTGTAATTTTAAATTCTCAATAAATATCATTTTTAAAAAAAAGAAAAAAGATTTGGGGCACTTTCCTTCTGAAGTCAGAAAAAAACCAGAACCAAAAAAAAATATTATGGGTACACAGAAGAGGCAAAGTTAATTTGGGAAAGGAACATGTGAAAAATGACTTTCTTTTAAGCTGTCAGAGATTCAGCATAGGAGAAGTGGAAGAGAGGAACTAGTTGTTTACTCTGCCCCATTCTGGCTCTGCCTATGGGGAACAACCTTTTGAAAAGACTGTGAGTCTAAGACACCAAAAAGGGGGAAGTTATTTCCAAAATGATAGGGAGAGCCGTTACTGATTTAATTCATCCCCGTTCCATTAAACACATTCAGCTATTGCTCTCATGCTTCCCCTGCACCGTAGACTAAATTTTGTATCCAATTAGACCCACTGAAATCTGTGCACATGACTAACTTAGCTCTACAGTGGTGCCTCGCAAGACGAAATTAATCCGTTCCGCGAGTGTCTTCGTCTAGCGGTTTTTTCGTCTTGCGAAGCAACACTATTAGCGGCTTAACGGATTAGCGCTATTAGCGGTTTAGTGGCTATTAAAGGCTTATCGGCTTAGCGGATTAGCTGCTAAAAGGCTATTAAAGGTTTAGCGGCTTAGATAAAGGGGGGGGGGAGCAAAAAAAAAAATCTCAAGACTCGCAAGACATTTTCATCTTGCGAAGCAAGCCCATAGGGAAATTCGTCCTGCGAAGCAACTCAAAAACGGAAAACCCTTTCGTCTAGCGGGTTTTCCGTCTTGCGAGGCATTCGTCTTGCGGGGCACCACTGTATTAACTTCAGTGCATTTAAGTTTAACTCAATCAGATGCAACTCTAAGCTTTTAATTTGCAAAACCACGGTGAGAACTGTATTTATTGATCATTTTAATTGACCCTGCTTGACAGCAAAACCCTACAGGCAAATAAATAAACAAATTTCAGTAGCTCTCAACTACTTCAAACTTCACTATTGGCTCCCTAAACTTCTCTGAAGGCTCTGTTGTCCTCCTTAGATGAGAAAGAGTTCTGCTGCTCATATCCACAATTAATAGGATAAGGGGAAGAAGCAGAATAGCTTTCAGGGGATTTTTTTCCATGGGCAGTCTGCCTGGAGAATGTGACAATTCCTGCTGGTCGATGGAAGAGACTAGGAAAAATCAACACAGGCAGTATAGTCCACATTCTTTCAAGTGACACTTTTTCTTTTTTGCTTTAATGCTAAATGGCCAGTGGGGGGGAAACTGACATATGGACACACAGCCTAACTAAAACTGTGTGGGTTTTGTGCTTCATTAA